CTCGTCCAGTCGTGAACGAAACCAGAATTGTTGCCATGGTAAGGGCAAGGCCAAAGCCCAAACCAATGAGCTTGATGTTCCCAGACAAGGTGCTGAGGGGTTTAACCTCACATCTATTGAAGAATTGCCAGAAATTTACCCTGATGATGATTTTGGTGTCAATGCTATTGAATTCCGCCATACTTCACCAGAGTATTCTCCGGATGATGAAATTACACAAAACCCTTGTCCAGAAATAGAAACCACTTTGGGTTCCCACACTATTCTCGCTTCTTGGGTTCCTAGTCCTGAGTTAACCACTGAGGATATTGAAATGGCCATGGAGCATGTTGGCCATGTTCCCACCTTACCTATTCAACCTGATGGTAATCTCTCAGAATGGTATCAGGAGGAGATACAGTACTCCTTCATCACTGAAGTTGAGTCAGTGACTCCTTGTGTCAACATACCAAGATCTAATTCTCCTTGCCTATGCACTATTTGCTTGCGTTCCTATTGATCCTCAGACCAGATGGGTTTCAGAATGGGTTTATCCCTTCAGGAATCCCTACAATGGGAGAACCCAGATCCTCTTTCAAGGAGGATTCCGTTTCCCTCTACTGAGTCGAGAACCAGGGCTGTACATAGCTCGCCCATCCAATCCGAGGATGGAGTGGGAGCTACCAGCCTGGTTGATATACGCATGGCAGGAGAGAGGAATTCTGCAGAGGATGTGTCACAGATTGTTCGAGAAAACAGACATTTTACCAAGTCTTCCCGAAAATCTAGCAGACCACTTAAACTATCATTAGCAGAATTCCATGCGAGTGTACCAAATCTGAGGACTTATATTCGTCCTTGTCCTTTTATTTGTCTTGATGTACCAGACTTTGATTTTAACCCAGAGAATTCTGTTAGTGGCTATAACCCTAGTGAATTCGACTGCAATGCATCAGATGCTTATGACTGTTACCCATGTGACATGTCAGCTAACATCACACTTCCAAAAGGTGAGTCCATTTGGATGCTTGACTCAGGGGCTTCACATCATGTGACCCCTCATTACTCTGACTTTTTGTCATTTAAGAAATATAAATTTCCGCAGTCAGCTAATACTGCTGGAACACAAAGAGTCAATATAATTGGTGAAGGAACTGTAGTGTTGCAGCTAGAAAATGGCTCCACTCTTTCCTTGGAAAATGTGGTTTTTAGCCCTCATTTTTCGAAGCGTTTATGCTCTCGAAATATGTTTCTAGAACGGGGATATAGAAGCGAAGTGACTTCAGACAATGAAGTAATCCGAACACCTGACGGCCAGATTTTAGTTGAAGCATGATTAGCTTCACCTAATTCACCATTACATTGGTTTGTGGGTGTTCTGCTTCCACCCTCCAATGCTTTTTCAGTCCTTTGCCCAATGGTTAAAATGGATGCTGAATCACTTTGGCATAATTGGCTGGCACATCCTGCCAATAATATCTTGCAACATTTACGCTGATTAGGTCTTCCTGAAATTCCTCTTCATGGAATTCAGTCCTGCAAGGGCTGTGCACAAGGCAAAATGGCTTCTGAATCATTTAAACCTTCCTGGAAATGTGCTACTCGCCCATTAGAACTTGTTCATGCCAACCTCTTGGAACTTCCCATTGAATCCTACTTTCACTCCAAGTATGTTCTCACATTACTTGATGACTACTCTTCCTTTGGTTTCTGCATCTATATGCGGAATAAATCTGATACCTGTAAACATTTTACCGAATGGTTGCTTGCTATGCAGCAGCAACTTAATTTGGAATTGGGTACTCTCCGTTCAGATCAAGGGGGAGAATTTATGGGAAACACTTTCAAGGCGCTCCTCACTTCACAAGGAATTGCACATCAGCTTTCTATAGCTGATCAACCACAACAAAATGGCCACGCAGAACGGTTCAATAGAACTATCCTGGAAAAATCTGGAGCAATTTGTCACTATGTGTGTGTTCCAAAGAAGTATTGGAACTTTGCATTTGACTGTGCACTACATGTGTACAATAGAACACCGCTCAAGAGAATTCAATTCAAGACCCCAGCTGAACTTTTCACTGGCAAAATTCCAGATATTTCTTATTTTCGCACATTCGGTTGCAAAGCTTATGTCTGGGTACCAAAGGAGCAAAGAAAAGATAAATTGGACCCACATGCAATTGAAATGATATTTTTAGGATACGAACCAAAAACAAAAGGCTATCAATTTCTTTATGGCCAAAAGGTCATTTTATCTCGCACTGCCAAGTTCATAGAAGACTCCTTTCCATTCTGTTCAGATAGTATTCGAAGAAAATCCAATACCTCAAATGACCCTGATTCCAAAGACAACCAATCTTCTGGTTCTAGTGATTCTGATGGAAACCTACCAGACTTTGGGATTGATCCTCCCAACCTTGGACCTCATCCAGTCCAACCACAAAATCCACAACAACCTCCTCACAATCCAAACCCACAGCAGGGTGGTCAACAAAACAGACCAGTTCAACAACAACATAGACCACACAGAGCACCTGCTGTTCCTCCCCATCTTATTCAGCACCCTCATCAACCATATCCTGTTCCTGGAGATAATAGAAATCTTCAAAGGGCAAACCCAGAACAAGCTGAACAAAGGGAACCTCGTCCTGAATGCAGAATTATTCCTACTACTCGACCAGACAATATCTATGGACCTAAACCTCCTGTCCAAATCGAGAGGGAAATTCGTGATAATAGAGACACTGCTCAGGAGTGGATTAGAAATGCTGAGCATCATGCTTGCAATTCTAGGGAATATAGGCAACAGACACAAGAGGAAAGAAGGCCACCTTCACCTTTAAGGCCACAAGCTCCTTCTGTTCCTAGGGAATGGATCTCTCATCCTCCCATGTCTCCCTTAACTCCATTACCCGAATCTACAACTCCACCTTCACCTGAAGCAGGTCCTTCTCAAACTGCATGTGTAGAAGAAGAAGAAGAAGAAGATCAAAAAGGGTATTTTACAAATACCTTTGAATTCCTTCTTGCCGCATGTGTTAAAGAGTCTCCGGAACATTACAAAGACGTCCAAAAACTTAATCCAGAACTGCAAAAGAAATGGTTCAATGCTATGAAGGACAAGATCAAATCAATCGAGGAGAGAAATGTTTGGACTCTTGTGGATCCAAAACCAGATCGCAAACCAGTTAAATGCAGATGGGTTTTTGCTATTAAAAGCGATGGTCGCTATAAAGCTCATCTTGTGGCCAAAGGTTTCACACAAGAATTCAGAACAGATTTTGAAGATACCTTCTCACCAGTTGCTCGTTTTGAGACTGTGTGGATATTACTTGCATTCACTGCTCAATGAAATTGGGAAATGAGCACTCTGGACATCAAAACTGCCTTCCTCTATGGTAGTTTGGATGAAGAAATTTACATGGAACAACCTGAAGGCTTCAAAATTAAAGGTCAAGAGCACAAGGTCTATCAGTTGCTGCACACTCTTTATGGTTTAAAGCAAGCAGCATTAGCATGGAACAAAGCCTTACATGCTTCCCTACTTTGCATGGGCTTTACTCGATCAAAAGTGGATGCAGGGATTTATATTTTTAAATCCAATGCAGGCATGGTTATTTTCCTCGTCTATGTTGACAATGGTTTATTTTTAGGATCACATCCTAAACTTTTAAAAGCAAAGAAAGATGAGTTTATGAAGAAATGGGAATCAAGAGATCTAGGAGAATGTAAAGAATATCTAGGTCTTCAGATCCACAGAAACCATGCAAAGCACAAGATCTACCTGGATCAGATCCCTTACATCAAAAAGGTGATCAAACAATTCCAAATGGAGAATGCACACAATGTTCGCACTCCACTTCCATCTGGCTACCAACCAAAGAAACCAGAGGCTTCTTATCAAGCTTCCTCTTCACTTTGATCCCAATATCAATCTATCGTTGGATCTTTGCTTTATATGGCTTTGGGGACTCGCCCAGATATTGCTTTCGTGGTCATTCACATGTTGCAATACATGGCCAATCCAACTGAAGATCACAAACAAAAGGCACTGCACATAGTAAAATATGTTGCATCTACTCCAAAACTTGCGCTTTACTATTTTGGGACTGAATCTCGCATCTTTGGATTCACTGATTCTGATTGGGCTGCCAATATGGATACTCATCATTCTACTACCAGATATGCCATGTTTCTTGGCACCTCCCTTATTTCTTGGCGATCGTGCAAACAGAAAACCATTGGGCTTTCATCAACTGAAGCCAAGTATATGGCTTTATGTGACTCTGCCAGACAAATCAAATGGCTAAATATGCTTTTTGATGAACTTGACCTCAAATTAGAGAAAACAATTCTCTACTGTGACAATATGGGTGCTCACTTTATTGCTGAGAATCCAGTCTCAGATGGTCGGTCCAAGCATATAGATGTCCAGTGGCATTTCGTTCATGAATGTGTCCAAGACAATCTTTTCGCCATTGAATATATTCAGACAGACCGACAAAAAGCCGATGGCTTAACCAAGTCTCTTACCTGGCAGAAGTTCGAAACAAATCGCTCATCACTTGGTCTTCTTACCCTACCATTCTAGAGCAAGGGGGAGTGTTGAAAATACCGGTGTATGGTATTTCTCATTACCGGTTCTAGACTTGCTTATTAGATGAGTTTTACTCATATGATGTCATGCTTTCTAAGTGACTCCACAATGATGTCACTTTACTCCACTTATTCTACGGCATTCCATGACATTCATTACTATACATAGTAGATAGTAACTTTACTTACTATATGCATCACCTGGTCTGTGCACATACCTGCATGTATATAAACCAAGGGGTTTCTGCCGTATCCCCTCAGCTTAGCTCAGTTCAATCAACTGATCTTTACTACTCTACAAGCCTCAACAGCTCTCTTACAAATACCGTTACTCTCAACGCTCTATCCAATAAAGGCAAGTGCTCGTCTTAGCTTGCTGCCCTTTTCCCCTTCATCCTCGTTCCTCTGCCATTAAGGATTTCATGTCTGGTGATTGGGTGTGGACTCAAGCGGTGCATCTTTTATCTTCTATGTCTCTGAGCACTGTACTAATGGCATGCAAATAACAGGACATAATTTCTCGTGATTCAACCACACACAGGTCAACCTTCATTCCAATCATCCTTGGCAGTGACAAGATGACTGTGTCAGTTGCAACCGGTCAAAACAATTATTATCCCCTCTACCTCTCAATAGGTAACATGAGCAACAAAGTTCATTGTGCACATCACAATAGTGTCGCTCTCATCGCTTTCCTTGCAATCCCACATAGTAAGTGCATCTGATAGATACATAGGAAAGTAATGGCACTAATGAGAGATATACTTGTAGCTGACAAAGAGCATGTGCCCACTGACACATTCCAACAATTCTGCTGCCAACTCTTTCATTCATCACTTGCATATATCCTTTGAAATCTCAAGCCTGCAATGACCAAACCAACTGTTATGCGGTTCAGTGATGGACACTATCACCACATAATTTTTGGACTCAGCCCTTATATCGCCAATTATGAGGAACAAGTCCTTCTGGCATGTATTGTGCGAGGGTGGTGTGCAAAGTATGTTTTTCTACTTTCCAACTCTTACTATCAACTAACTAGAATCTCAGATGTCTTGCGATGAGGCAGGAACTCAATACTGATGCACTTTATTGGAGTCGCAAACATGCAGAAGCGCTGATTGAGGAGTTTGATCTCAAGACCTTATGGGATGCATATGGCATTGTGGGTGATACAATTGTAAGTATTGTTTCACTTAGATTCCACTGTGCCTGTGTCCTGAAAACTGATTTCAGCCATTCACCAGCAGTTTTCCCCGTGCCAATATATACCAACTCATCGCCCCTGATATACTACACCAGATCATCAAAGGGATGTTCAAGGATCATTTGGTCGAGTGGGTTGAAAGCTATTTGAAGACCATGCATGGCACAACAAAGGCGAATGCAATCTTAGATGATATTGACCAGAGGTACGTCTGCTTTAATTTACGTTTCTTTCTTTCCTCATGTAGGATACCTTAGAATCATGGCCGTTGCGCCTTTCGCAGGGCTCCATCGCTTTCCTGAGGGCTGTCATTTCAAACAGTGGACTGGTAACGACTCAAAGGCACTAATGAAGGTAATTTTAGATCAGGTTGTTTATACAGTCTGTCATTAACGTTCGATACATAGGTGTATCTACCTGCCATTGAGGGGCATGTACCAACGGAGGTTGTGCGAACATTTCGCACTTTGTTGGAGTTCACATACCTGGTCCATCGCAATGTCCTCACTGAAGAAACCTTGGTTGCAATTCAAGATACCATCGACCACTTTCACAAGTACCGGGAAATATTTCGCCAATCAGGTACCATTCAAACTTTTTCCTTACCGTGCCAGCATGCAATGAAACACTACCCTGATCTTATATGTTTATTTGGGGCACTGAATGGACTTTGCACATCAATCACCGAATCAAAGCATATTGATGCTGTGAAGGACCCATACTGGTGGACCAATTGTAACAAGCCACTGGGCCAAATGCTCATTATCAATCAGCACTTAGATAAGTTGGCAGCCTCTCGAAGGGATTTCAACGAACAAGGGATGCTAGAGGGAAACTGCCTCATGGCAACTATGCAGCTCCTTTTGACTCAAGGTTGGTCATTGGATGATCATATTGATTTTCATCATATTCACATGAAGTAAACAGATGGCAGAGAGAACGGCGGTACGTCACAGGTCCTAGGTTCCAGTCCCCATAACAAAGACAATGGTGAGGCTGTGGACTGCCCAACATCCATAGAGGCACATGTTGAACTTGCTCGCACCACCCGTATGTACCTTATTAACCTGAGTAGTGCAGCAGCTCACAAAATCAACCTCTTGCATTCAGAAATGAAGCAGGCCAGAACTGTGACAGATCTTGCAATTGAGCTCAGTCTATCGCGTCTCCCTACCATTCTGGAGGAGTTCCTGCTTCAACAAGCCAACGCTGAAGACTACTGCAATCTCTGTGACATCCCACTATCTGAGTGCCCCATCTATGGCAACAAAATCACTGTCATTAATTCTGCAGCTGCACTATTCTATGCACCAAGTGATATCAGTGGTATTGGTGGCATGCAGTGTGAGTATATCCGCTCGTGTCATTCGTGGCAGAACGGGCCACCCTGGTATGACTGTGCATTTGTGAATACTAATCCAGGGCTGAAGGGGATGCATGGTTTGGATGTTGTGTGTATCCTTGGGTTTTTTTCCTTCGTTTCCCAAAGCAAGTGTTACCCATGCACAGTAGTGCAGTGGTTTGACCATGTCAGGGATGACCCAGATGTGGATATGGGGATGTGGATTGTACACCCGGCCCTTACTGCAAATCGTCACCTGGCCACTGCTGTCATACACGTAGACACCATATATCATGTGGCACACCTCATCCCCTTGTATGGCACCCACCCCATTCCCAGAACCATAAAGCTGCATCATTCTTACGACACATTTACCACCTTCTACATGAACAGATTTATCGATCATCATGCATTTTCACTTTTATCAGATTCGTACTTGTAGCATACTTGATTGTATGCTCAAATTCCATAGTAACTTAGCTGCTTGGGATGCTTATCTACTTGAGTCGCACTTAAACATTCGCCAAGTTACTTAGCGGTCATGCATGCTTGGCAATGTGGGTGCTTAACGTGCTTATGCTATTTACGTGCTTGACAGGTGCTGCTAAGTGGTCAAGCACGGTTAAGCAGACTTATGATTTGCTGATGTCAGCCGACGCGTCCTTCGGAAGGTTCGCAAACCGAACTATAGACACTCCGAACATTCCCTCAGTGGATATCGGTGACACTGGGTGAGGGTGGCTGAGTCTCGGTCCATAAGTTACACTTAACATGAGGTAAGAGGTCAATGTAAGTACTTTACAGATCACGGGGGTTTTCGACTAGCTTCAACGCACCGTCCCCGAACTAGCGTTGGAATCCACCTCGTGTGTCTTGGGGCTCGAGGATATAAATGATCTTCGTGCGACATATCATTCAGAACTTGAATGCACTAGAGACACGGTGACCGTCCACTCCCTGAAGTGTCGAATGAAAGCACGCTGCGTCAAGCCAAGCGGGAGCGCGTTAGACATTGATGAAGTGACATGATAAAGTCGTGCAATTACAGTACCCAGAGCCGGCCCCACGACGAGTCCGTATTCTGGCGGGACGGGCCCGAGTCCTCATTGCAGGCGAAAACAGGGGAGCGAGGACTCTAGACGGATATAGCCTTTTAACCCCCTTCCCCGATTCATGGAAGCGACCTACTTACTATAACTTGTCTCCTAACTTAGAGGGATATATCTAGGAGTGCACTGGAGTGCTACTCCACTTGCAGTGTTTTCTAAATGAAAATCGAATGTCCCGCAGACCTCACTTCTGCAGCCATCTTGGGATTTCGAACCTAACTTCCGTTAAACCAAACTCATGTTAGTGAGACAGTCAGAATTTGAAAATGCCCTACCGTTCTCGCTGGCCCCAACTGAATTCGCGCATTTCTATGCCTTCTAAGGTCGCTCATTAATCCGTAGGTCCATTTCCTCCCAACTCACTGGCTGCCCATGTGGGGTAACCAGGAGAAAGGTGTCAGCTACAATGATGTTTGCGTGACATACGCGAATGAATGTGCTCCAGAGTTCGCAGCGAACACGATGTGGTGAACGCCACTGGATTTCGATAGAAGTCTGCGTTCGTGCGAGCATGGGGCCTGAAAACGCACAGAAGGAGCCGCTAAAGTATTCGGGGAGGCTACAGGAGCGTGGGCATTTTGAAGATAATGAAGATTGTAGGTATTACCTAGTAGAAGTGTGCAGCTATTGGTGGCGTCAGTAACTTGCAGCTTATCGATTTGTCTGTGGTGACAACGGGATGAATGGATGTAGAGCATGTTCACCCTTTCAAGAAATCCAAAACTGCATATGCATGGGGGCAGGTGGCGTGCGTTGATACTCGAGACGAAGGAAAAACAAGCGTCCGTATTGCATTCATAGTGAGAACATTCTTGAAAGGAGGTGTTAATCTTGCTGAGGACTTAATAGAAAAGACGGAAAACTATGCCATTGATTCGTTGGACAAGGCGGCATCAAGTACCATGAGACGCTCTATCGGCCAAAAGCGCGCAGCCTTCCTGAGAAGAACTTGCAATTTCTCCTTGAGGGTCCTTGAGGGTCCGTATGACATCATTGACCACGCTGGGAGTGATCACGATTACAGCTATCCAACGGCGTGGGGACTGTGGCGAGAAAGAGCAACTCGATCTCGCTACACTCGGTGCTGAGTTAGGATTCACCCTCCTCGCTCTGATCGTATCGTCGAGCGTAAACTTTTGCGTCGTATCGGCCTTGACATTCGAGGACTCTCCGCATCCCACGAGTTCTTTTCGATTCTTCCCCTAGCTAGCCACAGCTCACTGGCATCGATGGGGTGAGCTTGTCCGTTGACCAAAACGAACCACCTGAGGGACAAACTACGCCTTTTATCTGGTCATCCTGGTTTTGTCGTTACATAAAGAAGGTGGAATAACATAGGTGAGAGACGGACTCGATTATCCAGAGCAGCGACAACGTTCGTGGTAAACGGTCCTTCTACAGGAATGAGCTACATGAATCATAGGTTCTGCATCTGTCCTTATGCAGGTGGTGGGGAATACTATCACCCTGCACCTGCTTAGCACACCGCCCTTCAGTATGACGCGTCAGGAGTCATAAGAAGCTCACGGTCTCAATCTACAGTAACTTTCCTGAAGCGTTCAGAGTAGAAGTTCGCGCTCCCGGGTGACTCGCCGACGAGTCAAAAGTCGCTCAAGTGCTTGGTTCCCACGTCGGTCTGACTGAGTGTCGCGCGGCCGCTAATGTTCACTTGATGCTGACTCGAGCCTAGGCCAATCGTAGCTCTGATGGCGCAGGTGATAAGGACTGATTTTCCCCCGCCCATCCCGCCATCAGCGCGTGCTCCCGACGCCTTCCATATTTGGTTTAGTGGTCCCGCCCATTTGTCCATTTATGGTACTCCCGACGCCGCGCGTAATCTGATGCGCCGCCGTTTGCCAATTAGAGGCTCCCGCTCGAGCTTCGCTGTCCCCGCCCGTCGTTCGATCAGTTATCACAAGACATTCAGAAGACAGCACAATTAATGGGCGCGTGTACAAACACTAGACGCCTCTGGCGGGTACTTATACCCCCGCGATTTTGCATCGAGTCATCCCAGCACACTACGTACCTTTCCATCCATCCAGATTCTTGATTCATTTCTCTTTACTCTCTTCCCCACATACCATGAGTTACGGGTATTTTACACCAACAGCGTATGGTCATGGCTCCGCGACCTCTGTCCGCACCCAAGGTGCCGCCTCCGCATCACCGGCTCGGGTATTACCCGGTGCTCCGCGCGTGAATACCGTGTCACTGCCCCACCCCAACTCCTCACCATATTATAGCCCCACGCACTGTACGTCTTTTCGATCTGATACCTCGTTCAGATTCGTGACTCTTCGGTTAATTCCAGATGATCCACCCACTGGCGCACCAGGGATTCTGGCTCTAAACCCACTACTTTCGTACTCTGGGATACCGCCTATATACTTTAACGTCCTACAGGACGTGCGATACATACGCCTGCGGAACGGCTGCTCGCCTAGCTCCCTCCTGGAGCCAGTTCTAAACCGACCTGTAACGTGTCTATGTATCCGCTTTGCCCACTATCCCTGCTGGTCTATCGAGGTTTCGAACCCCCGCGGAGTAACTGTTACCGATGTGCTGGTAAGAATCCGTGAGGCCCTTCACCGGGGTGTATCTCCCCAGGAGGCTACGGTTAGTAGCACTGCCTCTGAGTATTTCAGAGCTAGGACACGCGCTGACCCGCGCGAATATGCGCAGGGTGTGAAAAGGGTCGATCTCCTCGGTCCCAACGTGTTCTTTGCAGGACTGTCGCCTTCGCTGGATGGCCAAAACCGTTGGGACGTTCACTTTGTCTCGACAGCGTGAACACTCACTTGCCTGCCCTTCCTCTGGCACTCACGTCAATTTCCGTGAAGCAGTAATCAACATTTTACCTGGTCAACCTATTTCATCTATTTGCTCTTGACATGCTTTGTTACAAGTTGAACACTATCCCTTCTTCTCTGTATCGCTCCTGCTTTGTATTTGTTATCGTTTCAAGTATTAGATCTCTCAGAGACACTGTATTTTATGATTTTGTCTTAGTTTTTGTTCTCGTGATGACTCCACTGCTGAGTAGAATCAGAAATCCACTTTGATGTCAAGCCTTTTGTTCAGAATCGGCAATTTTCACTAAGGCTGCTTGTTCTCTGCTGTTTCATACTATTAACACTAGCTGGCGCTACGAAGGCACTTGGCTTCACTTGTTGTCTTAGTTTACACTGATTATACTCCACGGCGCTGGGTTCCACCCTGGCCGATGATTATCGCGTCTCGGTGCCCCAACGTAGAGCTGCTTTGTCGATAGGACTGAGTCAACTCTCTAGTTCTCATGAGATCTCACTCCACTCAACCACAACCCCAGTGTGCCTGGTGTCAGCCCAAGGAGCCAAAGTACACCAATACACTCAGAAGTAAAGTTTCCGAATTCATTTTTGGACCCACTCACAGTATAGTCAACCTTACAAGGGACACTAAGCCGTTCAGAATTCGAAGCATAACTTGCAATACAACAGGAACTCTGGCTGCTGGTTAGTGGAAAATAAGTAGAAGGCTCTATGCGACACTTGCAACCTGTGATGACAGCTTAACGCCAGCACCTGAATATGCAAAGTGACCTACTCACCGACAACAGTGAACCCACCGTTGTAGAGAGACACTACCTAGAAAAAGACCAGAACACGATCCAACTCCAATGACGCACAACATTCCCTCAATGTTTGATAGAGGATGTGGGAAGTGTCCAGTGTCACCAGGCCGTTAGCATTGGGTTTGTGTAAGAGTTTCAAATGCAGTTTTGGTTGACCGGAGTTCTCTCGCCACGTGAGCCAAGCCATTAAACATTCAAGTGATTCGATAGAGCTAAGAGTGAAGTCCTGTATTTCAAAGCTTTCGAGGAATTTCCAGCAGTAGTCGATAAGGCATTGGTTGTTTCGCCAACGATTCGACGGGGGGAATAACGTGGACACGTAGTCCACATGAATGGTCGCGTAACATACGTCATGAAATATGCGGCCAAGTCTCTTGGACATATCCAAAGCATTCTCGCTAGCCGTCTTTCCATAGGGGGATGCAGCAAAAGAGAGGTGGGAGACATTGTTGAATTTCGACTCATCTCCGATAGATATGCCGTAGCGCGGCGTTAGGCAATGTTGTCCAGTAAAGTAAAAAGATGTGAGCTTTAGAGCTACAATAGCATCTAGGAATGACATAGGTAGGTGGATGTCAAGTGCGAGGCGCCGAAGCGAAGGAAAGTGCATGCTGCGGAATTCTCGGTAATCAGTGATAGTAACGTCTACGAGTGACAGTTCTTCCAATGATTCGGCAGCGATGAATTGAGAAAGGGCCATATGAGACGGTACCTTCCATCTACGCAGTTCTAGATGCTTGAGGGCAGGAGCCCATGAACGAATCGTTAGCAAGTCGTCAGCCAACAAATATGCGTCTATGACAAGGTATTGCAGAGATGGAAGCCTTATACCGGCGATTTTGCTGAGGAAGGCATTGGCGTCGTCGGCAGCACAGATCCGGAGCGTATGAAATCGATTGGCGTGAGGCAAGACGACTTCTAGTCTCGGCGGTCCGTATCCGCATCCGAAGGAGATGGTAAGAGGAGCTTGACGACTTCTTTCCAAGTGCAACTTCAACAACGTTGGTCGGAAGTAGTAGCCTACGCAGACCTCGCTCCAGATACTAGGAATGCACAATATCAAGCCCTCCAACGGCGTGAGACACTAGCCAGGTGGTCCCGCTCCCGCTGGCGTTGGTTCGGCGTCCAGGACAAACATGAGCATTTCTGCCACCTCCGCTGATCTCCGGAGAGGAGGAATATGAACATCTGTGCAAGCAATTCGTTTGGAGGGCGATCGATGTATGTTACGACGCTCGACTCGATCAGCTCGTCGATCACGACTTTCTGTGCTACTACAACCTTGCGGACGTTAAGGAGCTCCTGGACAAGTTCCAATTCCCTGCGTTGCAGGCGAGCTAGCTCGGCTCGTGCATCGGAAAGAGTTTGCATGGCACGCCACTGGTATCAACGGAGAACCTGGACTTATGAGCGACGTATATGAGTTTGAAAGACTAGACGTCACCTGAGGATTGATTGGCGTGAAGCGTCGAATCTCAATTTCAGCTCAACAAAACGAAAGCAGGAGAGCCTATTATGTAAGCACACACGCCGCGGCACAGCCACCCGTGGATCTTCGCAGTACCGAGTTTAGATGCGCACTACCCCACCCAATGCCCACTTGGTTTAGCTCTTCTCTTCGCCCGTTATAACGATCCTGGCTGGCAGAAAATTCTCGCATAATGTTGGATGTTGGCCTGACATATAAGACCTGTTTTCTTTTTGGGTCACTTCCCTTTGCCTGCCATCGCAGGCCGCAGCTGCATTTGGAATCGATCACATCCCTCTTAATCATTTGATGATCATTTCGTGAGTAGAAAGCAGTAGATACTCTAACATCTACACATAATGCGTCAGTAGTCTCCGAATTACATACAATTGCCTTTCGGTGCCCTGTCGTCGCTAGGAGAAGTGAAACCGCAAGAGCCACAATACTTGTTCCTTGCGTCAAAGATACTATTAATACATCAGTATACCACAATTGATTTTGCCCCCGCATCACTGACGGTGCTCAACTTTTAACTAAATTGGCACCCTATACCTCGAAGGAAGTCAACATGTCTATCGTGACTTACAACATGGCTACCTAATAACAGACGCAATCACTCAGAATCCGAAATCCATCTCAGCAGGAACTCTAGAACCATTGGTTACAGGACGATGAGCAAAGGCTCTGCTGGCAAGACGTTAGACACTCACAACTCAATAACACCAAGTATAGCACAGGAATGAGGAGCCAGGCGTGTATCACATCCATTCTTTTAGCAGGACACATCCGTGCCAGTGGGTGGACTCGGTTTAACTAATCAAACCTGCTCCAAAGACAGGGAAAGGCTGATGAAAATGAAACATTAACGCCCAGGCTCAAATATTAAAAACGACTCACTCACCAATGGCCGCGAATATGGTGACGTAGAGAGATAAATCTGAGAAGACGCTGCAGTGCGATACTCCACTGATGCACAGCATTCCTGCAATGTTTGATGGAGCCTGGAATTCGAGGCGTTGAAAGTCCTCCGGACTATCAGATAGTCGGTGCCGGTGTTAACATATATCAGTTTCACATGCAACCTTCGGTGCTCCAAGTTCTTGCGCTTCGTGACCCAATCCATAAAATATTCGAAAGAGTTTGCTATGAACCAATCCATAAAATTTTGGAAAGATTCTGCTCGAATGGAAGTGAAATCTCGTATTTCGAGGCTTTTGAGGTGCAGCCAGTTGTCGATAGGGCTATGGAGGTCATCTGGACGGCCCACCGCCCTGCAAGGGGAAAACAGTGGATCCAGGCAGGCCATAGTAATGCTTGCATGACGCACGCCACGAAATACCCGGCAAAATTCCTCTACTAGTTTCAATGCAACACCATCGACAATCGGTTCACGGGCCAGAACAAAAACAAGGTAGTGGACATTCTCGAATTTCGATGTAGGTCCATTAAATGTTTTGCAACTGAGATATCTGCTACAGACCGCAGTAAATTCAAAGCGTTTGAGATTTGGCGCCACAATAGCTTCCAAGAACGAGATCGGATCACTGGTTCGAAGCGTGAGAGACTGAAGAACGGGAAAGTGGATACTGTCTAGGTGGAACACCCAGTCCGGGGTAGCACCACTGAGTGACAGCTCCGTCAACGATTCAGCAGCAATAGATATTAATCCCGAAGAGGCGCCAGGTAAGGTACCATAGGAAGGGCCACCGAATCCCTGTAGGTGTAGACACTTCAGGGCAGGGAAGCATGGGTACATCGTTGGCGGGACATTGAGAGAGGGAAATGTCAGGTGTTCAGGTTCACCGAGAATGCTCAGGGCATCACCGGAGATCTGAAGGGAATGGATGCGGTCCACGTGAGGAAAAAGAACTTCTAGTGACCGGAAGTAACTAAGTGAGATGGTAAGAGGGACTTGACGACTTCTTTTCAGGTCCGACTCCAACTTCGACAAGTTCGGCAATGATGAGTAGGTGTCCAAGTTGATCTCGCACCAAATTCTAGGAGTGTATACGATTACGGCTCTCCAACGGCGCGAGACACTAGCCAAACATTCCCTTTCATTGGTGAGGAGGAATATCTGTACTAGCAACTCGTTTGGAAGGCGATCGATGTACGGGACACAACTTGCTTTGATCAGCTCGTCGATCACAGTTTTCTGAGCTGCTACAGCTTTGCGGACATCAAAGAACTCTTGGAGGAGCTCCAATTCCCTGTGTTGCAGGCGAGCCAACTCAGCTCGTGCATCAGAAAGCTCGTTCATGGCCGCCAACAGGATAAGCAAGCTGAGTTTTGGGAGCCTAGTTGGGTATACGGTTGCTCATTAGGTTAGAGCGTGTTCAGTGAGAATAACGTAGAACCTGGTCAGTGATTGTTGACGGGAAAGTTCACCAGTGGGGGGCGACGACCTTTAATACATATGCCAAAGTCCGAGTCGGGTTTCAGTTTGTTTGGTCAAAAAATGGAACCCTGTACATGAGGACAACAATGGGTCCAAACGTAGGTCCCTGTTTGAAATTATCGACGGGCCTTCTCCGGCCTTGCTGTTAGGGTTGGGTCTAACGAGTCGAGGCACTCGAAGCAAAGACGGGATACAGATAGCGTTTGGAGCGTGAGTAAGCACGCCGACTCGGACAGGTACCGAAAGGGGCAGCGCTACGAAGGAAAAGTGAAACTGGTAGATTGGTAGCTGAAACGCGAGAACGACGAAACTGGAACCCTTCTGAAAGGCGAAACCTCATGACGCTGAGAAGACAAAAAAACATGGACGAGGACTGACAAGCCAGATAGCTGATAATGATAGGAGGAAGAAAAACGGCTATTATGGCTTATGACGGGTCAGAAAGGAGATTAGACAAGCGGGAAACATAACTCACCTGGCGAAGCGGTAGGACGGGTCAGAAAGTTTGTAACTACCGCACGCCAGATAATAAGGGTCAGCGAGGTATGACACCATACCTGAGCCACCCGATTGGAACGAGAGAGATCCCATGTATCGCGCCCCTCGGCGACGACCATCAGCTTAGTAATAAACCAAGTTTGTACTCCAACAAAATTTAGCACCGCCACTTCCGTCTGCCAGGCTGTGGCTACCAACGGCTAATCTCTTGTGCGGTGGCGTCTGAATGGTTCTGATGGAGAATTCCCTGTGTGGTCACAGAGTCCTGCCAGAGGTCCGTTCAAACCGATTCCCTTGGACTGTCTGGGCCCCTGGGGGCTAATGCTCTCCACTCATCTTCGCTCAATACTTGGCCGTAATCGCGCACCCCATAGCAGTTCTGGCACTCCGACATACCATTTTCGACTGCACGAAAACGTACGGCTTAACTTTAAGTAATAGCAGATTTCTTTCGACCGTCAAGTTCGGTGAATATTGCCAGCGTATATCGTATGAATGGTAGGGTTCCTTCCACCCGTAATAGTCAGCATTGTTGTATGACTTTTTGTCGTGAGACGCAGTGCGCTCCTGTACCTTAGTTCCCAGGAAATTCACTGCCAGCCCCGTTTGATGTTTCAATGCCTTTTCTTCATCCTTCTCTACGGCGCAGGCGATAAAGATTCCCCACAGGAAGTTCAGCTAGATATCGAAGAACTGGGATCCGATCTGTCTTGTACGGACCACTGGTGTGGCGACTCTGAGCATTGACGATGTGTGGAGATGCTTATATACGCCGGATGCACTGCGGTATTGCTAGGCACGACTGGACCATCCCCTACCGGTTAGTCTCATGTAAATATTCTTGAGCGTATTGAGCAACTTGACATCCATCAGCAAAACCAGAAACAGTGCTTGAGGGTGCTGAAATCGTGCTGTCGCAGTGCCTCTCACACAACCACTTGAGAACTTCTGTCCCTTCATACCAGAGAGGAGGATAGTTGGAGGTGCATAAACGGGGGGCACTCCACTCTTACTTTGTACCTATGGCGGCTTCTGTACCTTGGTGTTTAAGACGTCGGCCGTAAGTTCCGCGTTTGCTCGCACGGTGTGTTCTTCATGTGTGTATAGTGCTAGCCATAAAAAATTGCAGGGGGCGAAATTATTCTTTTTGCAAATCTTCCAGGTACTCGGTGGTTGCGTTCTGGACACCCGAGGGGCATTCAATGGCGGTTCCGCCCCCTGTTGAAATATTTGCAATAGCTGTTGCTGAAGGAAAACAGAGAGCCCTTGCGAGACACTGATAGGCGCCATCAGGTTTCTTGCAAGGGCCAAACTCCGCCGGACATGGGATTGGAGTCTGCTGACAGTGGGATCTCTCGTGGCGAAATATCGTTCACGATCTTTAGGTGCCAAATGCCGTTCCATGGAATCTCTGAACAGTCGGGTTACCCCAATTTTGTAGAATATGTCGGGACACACGCTAACACACGGTGTGTACCTTCTGATCTAATAAGCCGTTTTCTAACCGGTGCAATCAGGCCGAGTGACTCACGTACCCAAAGGACCATCCCCGTGTAGCTGCCTATGATCGCGAGAGACATACGTTGTCCTCGTGCGAGCTGTGCGATTTTGAGCCTGTTCTCGAGTCTGTCTGTAGGAACCAGTCCATTCCCTAGCTTCTGCGGCGCACCACCTATTTTCAGCGCGGACATTATCCCTGCCAGTTATCGAGGAGAACTGGTGCTCATCGGTGACACCAGTAGAAGGCCCTCCGCGGGACACATTGTTCTTTGTGCAATGCCTAGGAGTTCGAGGACGATCTTGCAGGTCCATTCATTTCAATGTCTGCTACTACGAATGTTGTGCCACTGTAGGATTATGCCGGGTGGACCCTACAGCGACATAGCCACGGTACAAGCGAAGGGAGCTCGGCGACACTGCTTTCCCCGACTACCCGTTTTTGGACGTGACCGGACCTTCTGCAAGGCCGGTGCGATTTGCTTTGGGTCAAAGCGTGACACTGAGTTGGCGGGACCACGCTACACCGGCAGATTCCCCGAGAACAACCCTCTCGCGTTCTTCTGGTCAGTTCGAGATTTGGACTGTTGATTTCGTTAGGTTGCTTTGTGAGTATCCGAGTTTCGCAGTCTTCCTTATTTGGTTGTGACAGGCAAGAAGGGTGTGTGGACTGGGTAGCCTCTCTTTATATTCCATCCAAAGCTTTTCTGTTGGTGCACGCTTTGACACCTCGCTCCCAGTATTTAATCTGGGAGCGGCAAGACTGCTCTTTAACTCGCTCCATCATGCATCCCTCCATGCATCTTCCTGTTCTTAGTGACGCTACCGATGACACTCTTGAAGAGCTTCTGACCTTCTTTGGACTCAACCACCCCTCCACTCATACTGTGTCCATCGGCCAGGGCACGGGGCACGCGGGGCACGACAACGCGTACGTAGGACCTAACACGTTAAATCAGACCACAGTGTACGGTGGCATCACTCACTACAATACCTCCGGCAATAGCTTGCCGCAAGATGCACATGGTAGCACGACCTACCACCAGCCCATCCCTGCACATACCTCGCAGTACAGTGACAGCATGCACGGCACCACGTCCAACATGATCCACAGCGGGTACAGCAACACGTTTAACCATCTCGATGTGTCTAACCAGGTTGTCGCATACGGTGGCATCGTGTACGGCAACGCGTCCAACATAGGTGTCCACGATGCGTACGGTAGCGCGGCAAACCATGGTACGGTTGGCCAGTTCTTACCCCCCAATGACTATGGTCAGGTTCTACCCCCGTGCGAGCATGGTACATCTGACCAGATCTTTCTCCCGTACGACAATACGTCCAATGTCACACTGGGCGTCGGTGTCCACAACGCGCACGGTGGCGTAGTGAATTATGATATATCTAACCAGGTCATCGGGTATAGCGGCATTATTCCCAGCAACACGCCCAACGCGGACATTCACGTACCGTTACCCCCTGCACAATATAGTCAGCATCAGTTTGGCTCGCCGGGAGGACACGGCAATACGCCCATCATGGACATCTACGAACCATTACCCCCTGCACAGTACTATCAGTATCAATTTGGCTCGCTCGCCGGGCATGACAACGCATACAACGTGGACCTGCAGGTGCCCCCAGCCTCGGCGCAGTACAATCAATTTGGCTTGCTGGTCGGGGCTGATACTAATGTGGGTTCTCACCTATTAATCCTTGCATTACCTTCTTGAATGACTTTTGACGCACAGAGCACTCCGCCCATGTCCTCGTTCAACCAACTGGCAGTGGTTTCTGTGAATGGTGTGCACGGTCCCCTCATTGCAGCCGAACCTGCATCAGACCCCTACCCCGCAAACGGATTTGGTACTCAAGTTCTGCCATCTTCAGGCAACTATGCGCCATCGAATGACTTGCCCGTGGAAACCGGCGACGTAAATAGCCCCTCTTCGTCTGTGGAATTGGATACTGCGTCACAAGATGTGCCGGGTACACCAGTTTCTCCATCTACCACTGGAAGTGGGGAATTGGATTCGAATACCCCGCCTACCGACGTCCCCGACGGGTCGGGGTATTCAGTGATTCACCAACTCCAAACCAATTTTGTAGAGGATATCATGTTGCTGCCCCTTTACACACCTGAAGACCGCCAGACCTGGACCGTGCGCATAAACAGAGAGGGCAGGAGTGCGGAGCACCACCTTGTCAGGTTCAGACGCAGGGGAGACATCCCTAATTCTCTTTGGGGAGTGCCTATGCTCGACTGCATCAGCCCTCTGTCAAGGCTCTTGTTGGACGCCGAGGAGAGGATAGACTGCCTGGGTGATGGTGGCGAGTCTCATATCTTGCTGAAGATATTGGTACGCAAGCTCCGTAACCCTCTTAAAATTTTCCTTACTTAGATTCCAAACGCGTCTTAGTGGCATGGTTACGAAACAATTGACTATGTTAAACGATTGCCAATTCGCACGTCCGACAACAAAATTGTGACGCGCGTGGAACTCGCCCGCGCCATCGCTCATGAGTTTTTTCAGTTTTGTGAGGTAAGCCACATGATCCTCCTCTGGCGTCATCGTGCGGTCATACCAATCACCGACTTCTCCAGCGGTGTACAAGCGGCGAATATGAATATGTGTCTACGGATCCGCGGTGGGAGATTGGGACCAGGTTTACTTTCGAGAACATCTCACTTGCTTCCATCTGGAACCCAGAGGGCGATATTTGGATTCCCGCCTTTCGCTACCTGATTCCGCGAGACCCGGTAACTCCCACATAATATTCCGGACTCTATCCCATTACACATCATTGGACTCCGTTTTTGCTCTTCATCTTGCGCGTATATGGTGGTATGTATAGCTCATTGGATTATTGTCGTCGCTTTTGCGTTTTTCAACCTCGTATTATTAGCATGTGTATTCCGCCCAGGTAGCATCCCCTCTTTACTAAGTCATGTATTCGATACAATCCCTCATTTTAGCCATATTTAGTGAAGGCAATATATGTGCCAGACGAGCTGAGCTAGTTTTACAGATGGACTATGATGCATGATGACTGACTAGCAAAATAGCTTCGGGCTTCTAGGGGTGTAGTCCTTGGGTTCAGGGCCGATACTGCCTGGAATAATGATTAATGAAGTACCAACGGGTTCGACGCAGTATATTTGGAGTCGCCAAAATGCCCAAACGTTACTTACGTGGAGCCTGGCCTTCGTGTTTCAGGACCTGTGGCTTCGAATTCTTCGTCCGAGTCAGAGCTGGTTTGCTGCTGGCGTTTGCGAGCTGTTCGTGAGCACGTTCCTTGCGGTGCGTGTTGATTCCGCCACCGATTTACAAGGTGGGTTGACGGTAGGAAAAGACACCCACACCAATCTGATACAACTTCAAAGTGAAAAAAATGAAACGAGATGACTCGATCTAATCAGTAGAGAGCTGAGGCATCTGCAACTGGACATAACACAACACCAGGGTCTTCTTCTTCGTCTGTTCCCGATTACTCGCCCCGAAACGGGCAGACACCGTTGCATACGAAGTCGAAGCTGTGTTTCATTGGGTTATGGTCACGGCGAGGTTAGCCCCACGCCACCTGGAGCTCGAAGATCTTGCGGATATTGCTGTCTCCAAAGGAAACGAAATCACACCGTGTACCACTTCTAGGTGGATAGTTAAAAACTGCATCGTGAGGCACGGGTCGAACTCACCCATTTTGAATAAACTCCTAGCATCATCCTCACTACACGAGTCGCAGCCAATCCCAGGAATGCAAGCTGTATATACGGGCTCGCAAACCGGGATATTTTCGTTTTCCGCTAGTAGCATAGCAATCAGTTCAGGGAGCTCACGAACTGAGAGAATATCCGTCGGATGTCGAGCGGTCCTCTACTTATTGACGAGATTGACGTTGGGGCTATATGACACATGGCAAACCTGTAGTTCAGGGGGTACATCGGGCATTGACTCACATGGGGCTCGCTTCAGAGAGACTCGAAAAAACGAGAACTTGCAGCTGGAGAAGATCTGTCCCGAACGGCGATAATGGAGAGCGGTGACCCAAAGGAGAAACCTTACATTCGAAAAACTGGTTGTCTATTGGCCCGAGTTCGTTTTCAATAATGAAACGCGATAGGATCGAGCAGCTGAATAAAGGTCACCGTTTGAATGGTGGAAAGTATTGGGAATGAGGATCTACATGTCTCGTAAGCCTTGGCTTCAACGTCATATGCTGAAGCTTAATTGATGGATTCACAGACCACCGCAAAAGCACTGTCAATCAAGTCCTGGACTTCGCTGGTCCTAGGCATGTCTTCGGTGACGTCAACGTGACACATCTCGTACAAGGGTCAATGGCTCCCAAACAACAAATTAGTAACTCGAGTCGTGTATCCCTAAACAACTCCTAAACTATTAGATGAGCTGACCAATACATCAATCACTAGTAAATACTTATTCTACCCAGTAATTTCATTGAAGGTTGTCTCAACTTGCCTAACTTGCCTCATACATGTACGGTCACTAGTTAAACAGAGATACACCGGTTGCTCGGGTTGACAGTAGGTAATAGCTACCGATAGATGATATCAGCTGAAAGATACAGGAAAGATACAGAATAGTCCGCTGTCGAGAATGCTAAACAACGTTGGAATAGTGTACACAAGCCAGCGAGGTCCATGTGATACATCTTTGATTAGGGTGACCTCCAAGCTTACACCCCGTTTGTCTGCCTGTCCGGATCGGTGAGTGGGACATACTACCGCACGACGAGTCAGCATGCACACCGACCGCAAGCCATACATGCACGTACCATGACGCCCATGAGTTCGTGTTTCCTAACGTGCCCAGAGACCGTCTTCTCGACTTCCCAAATAGACTGAGAGTAGACGCCGACCGGGATGAACATCTTTCCTGGGGCTTTAAGTTGGTCGATGAGTGCCTGAGGGAGAATAGGTGCAGCCGCTCCGACGTGGATCGCATCATACGGAGCTATCGAAAGACAGTGAGGAGAATTCTACGGGACGTGACAAGAGCAATGACGCACCGGCGGGTACATACCCCTGCCTTCCATCTCCCAAGATCAGTTCAATCCTGCCGTCCTGCAATGCGTTGCCAAGCCCGTCACGCTCGAGGTTGTACTTTGACCGTTCTACAAGTTCAGGGATGTGATCTATCCCAATGACTTTCCCCTGAGGCGGGTTTGGGTTATCAGGAGAAGGCGAGGGGGAGACGAGGTGATGCAGGACGGCAGCCAGATATCCCGAACCGCTGCCTACGTCGAGAACGGTGGCTCCAGGTTGGATGTATTGAAGCAAGTTCTCCAATGCGTGAGCGTGCTGTGATTATGGATGAATGTGGCGTCACGAGGGAGAAAGGGGGAAAGAGAGAGAACGAGAATACCATGTGAGGAGCAGATATGGTGGCGCCGTGCCCGATGGACCTGTGTGAGCACGTCAATGAGAGAATGTTCGAGGAAAAAAAGAATACGGACTGCGGAGAATCTTGGTATGCATCGCCTGGCCGAAGGACATAGTTGGCCCTGTCGACCTTGGCCATGGCCTGACAGCTGGTGGATGAGCCAGTGAGTCTGCTACGCGGATGGCAGTGAACGTACGTCCGTGACCCTTTCTGAGGTTAGAATGCCCTGTCGAGCCAGATTGCGTATCAGCTCGTTGTTCGACTTTCCACTGCACCTCCAGGCCATCACGTCTGACAGGAGAGACCCAAGACACATTGCTGGTAATGACGTCAGCCTCATATATTCATCTCCCCTGGCGAGGCAGCACAGCCACTGTCGCACGCATTCGCCATCTGATCCCGTACGTAAGCCTAACGGTACTTCATTTCGTTCCGTAAGGTGGGTGTGTCAGTGCACAATGCCTATCGTAAACACACCCATCTTGCCGCTCCTCTACACCGTATTCCAGGTATTCTCTCTTACATTGTAGTGTACCAGTCTGACTTTGGTTTGCAGTCAATATTCCAGGTGTTTCTATTGTGCCTTACTGGCTTTTATCTCTCCTGGAAGGGTATCGCAGACAAACGAATCCAGAGGGCGCTCAACAACATCAACATATGCCTATTCACTCCTGCGCTACTCTTCTCGAAAGTAGCCTTCTTTCTTACTCTAGGCATGTCCCCTCCGTCTCAAGTCGTCGTTGCGATGTTGCTGACTTCTGCCGTGAAGAGAAACTACGCGAGTTGTGGGTCATCCCAATCTTTTTCTTGCTGATATGCGGATTGTCTGGTCTTATCGCCAATGGACTCGCTAAAACGTGCCGTCTTAAACGATCCCAAAGGTGCGCTCACTATTCCCTTGCATTCACCCTGCACTCTCATCTTGTGGGAAGAAATTTTGCTGTTGCCGCATCCATATTCATGAACTCCAACTCTCTCCCTGTTGCGTTGATGCAATCGCTCGTCGCCACCGTCCCGGGGTTGAAGTGGACACCCGAAGACGACCAAGACGCCATGTTCGGCAGAGCGCTCACTTATCTCGTTGTCTTTAGTACCCTTGGCATGATGGTGAGCCTTGCGTGCTTGGCGTTTCATCCACGTGCTCGACTATCTTCAATTCACTGTCTTCGATGCGCCATGGCGACAATATTTCGTTTCTCACGTCCGTCCACAGCTTCGGTGGAGTTATGGTGTCTGGTTACTCTCGCATGAAGATACGGAAGAACCCGAGCTGATTGGTGACGTCGCGTCAGGGCACCTAGACAGATCGGGCACGAACAACAAGATACGGGTACAGAGTCCGACACTGGACGCTGAACTTCGTCGGTCAGCCCGGAGCACCCTCCGTACGCAACTTTACGCCCATGTTCCTCACGCCGGTTTCGGCGACGAGGCTTTCCGACTCGTCGCTATTCCATACCCCATCGGACTCCGACCTCGAATCAGATTCGGACGAGAGACTCGTCATTCGTTCGCCTCCCGGGCCATCGCGTCTCTCCAATACCGCGTATACCCCGACTTCCCACGACAATGCCGCCGATGTACACGCTCGTCGAAATGTAGTTACGCAACGGTTCCCTTCGGATCACACCTCCCTATCCCAGCATTTACGCACCCTTGTGCACCGGATCCGCACTCGTCGCATATGCATGCCATCTCTACCACCTCCTCTCTTCGCATCCCTCTTCGCACTCCTGTTTACATTTCCACCGTTTCAGGCGATTCTCAAAAGCGACAGTGATGCTCCCCGTGAAAGGCGCACTGAACAGCGCAGGAGCGTGTAGTGTTCCCCTGACGTTGGTCGTGCTTGGGGGATGGTTTTGGGAGGATAATGGAAAGGAAGGGGATGATGCTAAACGAGGACATGGGAGTGGAGCCGGTGATGGTAGAACGACCGAGCGTGCAGGACACAGAACACGGAGCCCAGGTGTACCCAGAGGGGATGACGACGAGGGCGAGCCCGAAGAGGACGGAATCGAATGCGAGCTTAGAGAAGATCATAACAACATTCCCTCACAGACACGTCACCGGCAAGTTCTCACATCCGAAAGCGCCGAATGCCTCACTGCTCGCGATCGCGCGCAAGGACAGGCGCAGCATGGTGGTGACCTCTGGGACAGCAGCAACATCTCCCAGTCTCCGTCGTCATCATCGCTGTTCAGCGTGTTACAGGATATGTGGAAGATGACCCCCATTAGTAGTGGGAGACAGAGACGGAGGGGGCCTATCCGTCTTGCAGATGACGATGATGAACGGGATCATGAAGCAGATGTCGAAGTGGGAGACCATATAATATGGCGTATGCATTCGTCTACGAGTCTTAAAGGGCAACAGACAGTCGGCCGTGTCAACAATCCTGCCGGACGACGGCAACCTATTCGTCCCACACCTCCAGGCGAAACAACCACCATCGTCGTCACCCTAATATCCCGAATGATCCTCACGCCGCTTCTTGTTCTTCCTCTGATGGCTTTCTTCACAATACGGGGCGAAGGAGATGGTGGCATCAAGGTATTCGACGAGTACGTGTTTTTTCTTCCTTTCTTCGTCACGTGTCGTTATCGGGTGCTCATGTGTGATCGTGCATTTCATCAGTCCCGTGTTCGTCATAGTAATGGTTCTACTGATTGCGTCACCACCTGCAGGTGACTCTTGCACAAGTTCGTTCATTCATTCAGTATTTCCTCGATCCATCGCTAATCCAACTGTGCGCTTCCTATATCATAGCTCTCGCAAAGAGCCGCAGCAATGTCAAGGCCCAAACCCAAAGCTCGAGGTCGCACCTGCAACCATTGTGTTAACTTCTGTAGCACTATCCCAACTACCAGGCCCTACACCTTCCGCAGGACCAGCTCCTACCCCATCTAACACATCCACTGCAGGTACCAACGCCAGTGTCTCCTCCACTAGTACCCACAGCATCCACCGAAGTGGCATCGTCTGAGGCGAATTCATCGTTTGAGCGTCTCATCTCCCGTACCATCTTTTGGGCCTACTGTGTCGTTACCCCACCGGTGACAATTGGCTGTGTAATGGTCGGGATGATCTTTATGTCATTGTGATAATGCTGTCGTCTCGTGTGGTACCGCGCCTCGCGTTCGACATTCGTGAATTACTGGGGGGAGAGGAGGGAAGTAGGCAAGTTCATGCAAGAAGCCCTAGTGCATTATAGTAGTGAGGATGGTGTTCAAAGTTCAACCGCCATAGACCAACTGATTAATGTGATACATAAGTCTTGTTCTCTCTTGTTCGTCCCAATCTTGCACCTCTCGGGTGTACATGTGGATGTATATCATCAGGAAATCAACCAAATTCCATCCGTGCTTTTCGTGGAATTATTTGTCTATTTCAACTATTATGGTTATTTCTGGCCACACCCAATACAGACTAAGTTTAGAGTAGTCAAGATACATAGTAGTAGTAGCAGTAAAGGAAGTGTTACTCCACACCATATACCATATGTGCAGGAGTCTTGGTTCATTTAGTACTTGAGTCATATAAGGATCACTAGTGACATATACTGCCTAACATCTAACTGCTTCTCAGGTTCACATCCCAGATGGTTGGCCACACAGTCATTCTAACAACTTTTGAGTGCTGTCTGCAAGTGCTTGCTCACTGAGTCATTGCCTTTTACCTGTGCCCACCATAGTTGAAGTACATGCATTCATCAAAAGAGAACTCTTATCTCAGAGGTGTTCAAGCAACTCTTGTTATGCAGATGAGAATCAGGCAAGTGTGATGCAGGTGGCATGTGGAAGGAGGGAGATGAGCAAGATGGAACAGGGGTGTGTCATTCAGAAGATGGACCACTGATAATGTTCTGATGAATGAGGTAACAAAATTCCAAAAATGCTCAAAACATGAAGACAATGTATTGTGGAACATGACCTTCAATTGCTGTGAAGTAAATCTGTGAAGGTTTTGTAGGATGATGAGCTGCAGGATTGTCAAGTCTATAGAAAGGAATATACTGTAGGTAGGTAAGTAAGTGTTCCAATATAATGAATGGAAGGAGTCTCACCTCAGACTTCAAGTTGGTTGAAGCTGAGGTGCAGTAAGAAAAATAAACTGCTAAGTGTCCGCTTTTGGATTATGTAATGCTGTGCTCAGTGAACCACAACTAAGGTAAAAGTGATAAACTCCAACAGAAGGATGGGTCAATAATCACACAAAGGAAATTTGGATGAGGCATCTTCACAAGGCCCTTGGAATTATCACCAGTCCACTGTGTGTTGCCCTTGAGGGCATAGAAATATCTGTAGTGAATAATCTACTGATATATTGGATATACCTGTAGGCAACTACAGGGAGTCAGTAAGTAGAATACTGCTAATGAATGGTAATCTTACCCTTGGTAGTGAACAATCTACTGAGGGAACAGTGTAATGACTATGTAGTAAGTGTGCTCTAATGGCTTATGTAAACAGCCAAACATTGCACCAAAGTAAGCAGAACACAGGGGAGAGTATATCTCCAACAGAGGGAAATGCTGCAGCCCAGTAAATGAGGCAACAGCTGTGATCCTGGAACACCATGAAGTAGATATAAATATTGATTGAAATCATGCACCACCAGTCAATCTTCTCCAAGACTTTCTCTGCCTCTGTCTTCCTGTTATGCTTCTGTCAGGGGTTTTTCCTTTTTCAACTTCTCGCAGTCATGTGCATCACGTGCCTTGTCATGTCCCTCATAATTGTTGCCATCCTAGGGGCTCATATGTTGAATGGATCCTTTGGCTCACCTGCTGTCAAGGTATTTCCAATACCTGTCAACTTCACAGCCTCATGATCCAGTATTCCACCACCCTCTCTGATGGATGACTTGTTTCCTTCTAGTTCTGGTGACTCTGTCTGACTCATTTATGTTGCTCACATGTTGTACTATAGTTCCGGTGTCTGGCTCCCTGCTGTGCATTGATCGCATAGCCAGTATAGCCTTTGCTCCCCTTACTACCCCCACCTCTGACACCATATGACTCTTATCTATTTCACTGATTGTTCTGTTGATTACTGTGGATACACATCATGACTGGTATGGTACTCATACTTAGAGGTATATAAACATGTGTACTTTACCTTGTATCCTCAGTTTTTTGATAGCTTGCAACTCAGCTAACTTCCTTCTCTTTCATCCTTGTTCTTTCTCCATGTGACTACCTCAACAGATTGTCAGAAGACAGAACCTTTGTCAGACCTCAGAGATAACTGAGCCATAGGGGTTACAATACATTCAGCCCATAGACTCCCCCTCACATGCTTCATGCCTATTCCATTTGAAGAAGTCACCATGCTTGGGCATAACAAAATCAAAAAACTCTGCACAGCTTTTGGGACTCATCAACCTCTTTGCACAAAGTCTACTCATCCCTGGTTACTGAACTTCAACAAACCAACCCTTGTTTAAACTTGCACTAGGCTCGTTGCTCTCCCTACATGTAAAGACTGACTTGCCTCTGTCCCACTACTTGAGTAACAACATCGAGAAGCACCCCTCTACCCTCAATCAAATCCACTGCTCTACAGGCAGCCATTAGGCTTTAATAGATCACCTCCCTAGAGTCAGCACTTGTGTCTCCCTATGCATAAAGCCACTCACGCATCCTCCACCCCACTATGCTGACAGGTTTCTTTCAAGAAATAAATCCTCCCTCATCCTTCATTGTCACTATCTGTAAAAGTGTCTAACCTGCAGAGGTCGGGACCACCAGTTCCTCCTTGACCTAATCCCCTTGGGCTCAGAAGGAATCCTCCTCTCCCACCCATCCCTTTAGGACAACTCAGTCCTTTGGTTACCTTGACAAATCCTCAGTTATCTTACCTGTCCTGGTTTAGGGAATCAGAAGTCATGCTTAGTTCAGAAGAAGAAGACAATCAGAAGTCTGAGACTTCTTTCAGATCAGTCCTCAAAGAAGAACAAGAAGCTTGCATCAAAGAAATGTCCATGACGATCAGTCATGGAGAGTCTGCTCCTGAGATGCCTACAAGGACCTTCTCAGAAGAGGAGCTGAGACAAAGGTTGGAAGACCAAAGGCTCACTATGGCAGAAGAGCTACAAAGAGTTATGCATGCCAGGAGTAGTGACCCCTTTCCAACAGGAATGCCTATGGACTTGGCATTATGTGAATGGTATCAGAGGAACTTCTGAAAGGTAATTCCCCCAGAGGTCCCCATTGGTGGGTCCAGTAAGGGTAAGGCCCCAGCTGACCCTGATGACACATATGATTGCTGCCCACCCAACAGAGGTTGGGAGTTTAATGTCGGGTGTCCCAGAGAATACAATGGAAGCCACAATGGGCTTCAGACCTGGGTTACGCAGGTCGAAGGTTATTTGAACCTGAACAAGCATGTCTATAATTTGGAGTCACTCAAGATCTCGTTTGTGCTCACCTATATGACCAAAGGCACAGCCATTTTGTTCACCAAAAATTATCAAAATGAAAACAAGCTTCTAGATGGAACAATCTACTACACTGATACCTTCCAGAGGTTCATGGAACATCTTAAAGCTACTTTCGAATCAGGTGATCAGACCACTTTGGCAATTCTATGCCTTTTGGATATTCAACAAGGCAAATGCGAACTCGAGGCCCACATCGCTGAATTTACTGGGCTTGTTAACAAGGCTCAACTCAAAGAAGAATCATGTGAAGCAGGGATCTTCTTCAGAAAAGGACTGCAAAAAGAATATTGCGATTGGGTCCTCAACTCTGGACATGCCCCTTCCACAGTTATTGAGTGGATACAGTGCATGGGAGAAGTGAGAACTGCCATCGCTATGAAGCATATCCTAGAAGGGAAGGAATCTCAGTATGAAAGAAAGTTCATTGATTACTGCAGAGGTTCCCGAGATCCTGATGCGATGGACATTGACAAACACAAATGGAATGTTAGATGTTCCAGTTCAGAAATTAAATGCTTCAATTGTGGAGCTGATGGTCACTACAAGCATGACTGTAAAGTCAAGGTAAAAACTCAACTATCCAATGTCTGCATTGTCCTCTCAGAGGATGGAATGAAGACCACTTATGTCAGAGATTGTGAAGCAAATGTGGAGGAATGGAAGTTGTTGGGGTTTTAAAGGGGACTGATGAATCTCCTGCATCAGTCAGTCCTGTTGCAATTTTGTCTGCTAAATGTACTTCTATAGATGATGAATCAAATATGCAAATTCGTTCTCCCCTTGGACTGGTCATACTACTGGACTTCAAGGCAGGAATTTGGGCCTGTATTGACTCAGGCACTGAGGTTTCCCTCATCTTGGAACACATGGTACAGAAACTTGGAATCCCAACTTATTGAGTCAAAAGCAAGTTCAAGACCATGTCATTTACCAGAAAAGATGTTGAGTGGGTCACATGCAAGGTGACCCTGAAGATGGAAATCAAGGAGTGCATCATTCGAGTCAAATGTTATGTTGGACCACTTGTCGGAAAAGATCATGTCCTTCTTGGGATGCCATTTCTAAAGGAGTTCAAACCTCATATGAACTGGGAAACTGGCAAGATTATATGCTGGGATGATGGGTATGTGTATCCCGAAGGGTCTGACTATTTTGTCAAACAGGTAGTGTCTTTGGACATGGGCAGTATGAAGGAATCTTCCAGTCTGTCCCTGGAAGTGGTAAAACCAGAAATGGGTGAAACTCCCATTGTTATTAATAAAACTACTCTGTCCACAGAACTAGAAGCCACCTTGGTGATTGATAAAGAGGAAGTCAAGCTTCCTGAAATTTACAAGGAGTTTGCCAAGGTGTTTGCAGAGGACAACATCCCACTCCCAGCCCATTGGCCAGGTCTAGACCACAAAATCTGCTTATGAGAAGATTTCAAACCAAAGAAGGCAGCAGTGTATCCCATGTCCCCTGACAAACTAAAGGTACTAGACAAGTTCTTGGAAGAGAACCTTGCTTGCAAAAAGATTCGACTGTCCACATCACCACAAGCAGCACCAGTGTTTTTCATTGCAAAGAAAGATGAGAAGAAATGGTTAATTCAAGACTACTGATATCTCAATTCTTTCATGATTCCAGATGCTCACCCTTTACCAAATGCACAGGCTTTGTTTGACAAGTTAGTTGAATCAAAATATTACACCGAGTTTGACATTTGATGGGGATTCACTAACCTTAGGGTTAAAGAAGGAGATGAGTGGAAAGGAGCCTTTATTACTCATCACGGACTTTTCAAGCCAATGGTAATGTTCTTTGGCCAGTGTAACTCACCTCCTTCCTTCCAAAGGTACATGGATCGCACTTTCGACTCTCAGAGAGGAAAGCAGGTAGGCTATATGGATGACATAGTGATCCATGCCAAGACAAGAGAAGAACTTTGAACTCATGTTTGCAAGTTCCTACAGATATGCCAGAAAGAAGGTCTTCACCTCAAGATTAGCAAATGTGTCTTTGAGGCTGAAGAAATTGAATTCCTTGGAATGATAATAGGAAAAGGGTGTATGGAAACTTTGCTGACAAAGACTGATGCTATCAGTACTTGGGAAGCCCCTGACAATCTCACTGGGCTTCATCAATTCCTCAGGTTCTGTAACTTCTACTGCAAATTCATCCCTTCCTTCTCAAGTGTTGCTTGCCCCCTCCATGACCTTACCAAAAAAGGGGTCTCATACCAGTGGACACCCACACACAATGCTGTGTTCAAAAAGTTAAAGTCTTTGTTATGCTCCTCTCCAGTCCTCACTATCCCTGACTTCTCAAAGCCATTCACTCTGTTCACAGATGCTTCGAAGCTCGGAACTGGTGTGGTGCTCGCCCAGAAAGGAGATGACAATGAGTGGCACCCATGCTTGTACCTGTTGCAGTCCCTGGTTGGTGCCAAGCAACAGTACCAGGTCTATGACCTTGAGATGCTTGCCATCATTCACACTCTCAAGGCTTTCTGCCCTTACCTCCTTTCTCCCATTGAACTGACTGTGGTCTTTACGGATCACAAGAACTTGGAGTACTACCAAGAGCCTCAACAGCTCACCCCTTGGCAGGCCCACTGGGCCACTACTATTCAATCCTACCCTATCCGGTTCTCCTGGCAGGCTGGTTGCCTGCAGGTCCTGGCTGACACTCTTTCCTACAAAGGCACCCTAGAGGAGCCTGCCCCAGTGGCCATGGTCCTTCCCCCAGACCTTTGGCTTTCAGAGGGGGTGGGTCCCCAGATTCACCTTGTTTCACCCTCTTTTTCCATAACGAAAATACAAAAACAACTAAAAATCAACCAACTCTGCTGAATCAGACAACTCCCTGCATGGATAATGCATTCCAAAAAGCACCTGACTAAACTGTATTCTCACCTGCATGAGGAAAAACCAAAGGAGAATAGGCTGCCTGACGCTCACCCTTTGAGGAAACAAGTAAAAGGAGCAAAAGGGGTCTATGCAATATCTGTGGACCTGTATGAGCATGTCAAGAACAACAAATCAAAGGACTCAACAGGTCCAGAACCTAAAGATAATGTCACCATGGCAGAGGATGGAACAAAATGGTTCAGAATGACACAGTTATACATTCCCCCTGAATATCACTGCCATTGCATGTGCTCATATCATGACCACAAGTCTGCCAGACACCTTGGACAGAAGGCAATGTTTGCAAAAATGCGAAAGGAAGTATGGTGGGAAGGTATGGGAAAGGACATTAAAGCTTACGTGGCAGGTTGCCCGACATGCCAGACCACCAAGGTCATCACTCATCTGCCAATGCCACCCATTGTCCCTCACAAAACCCCTAAAACTGTGTTCCCCTTTCAGCAAATATCTATGGATCTCATCACGGATCTCCCAGTCTCAGGAGAACAAAAATATGATTCAATTCTCACGGTTGTCGATCAGGGCCTTACAAAGGCCACTCTGTTCATTCTGTGTCACACAACTATTGACTCCGTCAGGATTGCCTGACTCTTCCATCAGTTCATTTATTCCCAATATGGAGTCCCAGAGTCAGTAATCTCAGATCAAGGACTGCAGTTCATGTCATCATTTACCAAGGAACTCTACAAAGCAATAGGGGTGAAGACCAAACTCTTGACAGGATATCACCCCCAGACTAACGGAGAAAGTGAATGCATAAATCAAGAGGTAGAGGGATATTTATGGCTCTACTGTGCAGAAGCCCCTAATTTGTGGGCTGCAAAACTCCCCTCTGCTCAGTTTGCTCACAACTCCCATGTTCATTTGGTCCACCAAATGACCCCCTTTTTGCTACTCCTTGGATATGATCCTTCTCCTTACCTGGAAGTCTGGCTAACTGTGGTTCCCTCGGTGGATGAAAGATTGGAAAGGCTGGCCTCAAACTGCAATGTTGCCATTCTTGCTCACTGGAAAGCACAGGACCTGATGTGTTCATGCTCAAAAGGTTCTTATGTTGTGCCCAAGGAAGGAGATCAAGTTCTCCTGGATACTGGGCACCTTTGCATCAAAAACCAGTGTGACAAGATTGTGCCCCAATGTCTCAGGCCATTCACAGTGATCCAGGTCATATTGCCTGTCACCTTCCATCTGGAACTGCCTCCAACATGGAAGGTACATCCTGTGTTCCATGCTTCTCAGATCTTTCCTTTCACCAAAAATGACACTTATGGAGCTGTGCCCGCAGCTCCTCTCCCAGAAATGGTTGATGATGAGATTGAATGGGAGGTCGAGTCAATAATTAATCACAAGGTTGATGGGCACAGAGGTAAACAAAAGTATTTGGTTAAATGGAAAGGGTTCCTGCATTCATCAAATACATGGGAACCCAAGGAACATATAAAGGACCATGCATCAGAGGCCCTTGACCAGTACAAGCTCGCTCACCACCTCAGATAAATGGATTCCCCCTGCTTCATCAACACTGAGAATGACTATGCTGACATCCCCTTCCCCACAGAATCCCTTTACGACCCCACAGACGACAGGCTCATACCCCCCATCACCATCCATGCACCATCCTCTCCCCCAATGTCCCCTGCAGGCATTTATGTCTCTGGGTGCTCCTCACTGCTCTCCCAACCCTGTGCGCTATTGCCCCCTGTCCTCAGGGCTGGTAGACCACATCCACTCAAGGGGTTCTCAGTCAGACACATCCCCGCCCCTACAGCCAGAGTCCCCCTCAGTGAGGACAGTAACTGAAAGGGAAAAGGTAAAGCACACACTCATGATGACCCTGATAGTCCAGCAGCCCCCTCCGGTTCAACTGATGCTCCCAAATCTGCCCACCTTTGCACTGCCAGCTCCACCTATTCTGACAGAGCACACTGCACAGCCCTCAACCTCCTCACATCTGTTGCCCTTGCCAGGCATGACAAGCAGCGATTACCAATCGCAGCAGGTGACTACCTGGACATTGTTAGGGCACTTGACATCTTCCATGACAGGGACGACATTGACAGGTGCTCACCAGAACAGGTTGAGTATTTTAGGCTGTTGTCTCAAATCTACAGAGCAACAGACTTGATCAACTCTGCCATGTCAAAGATCCGAACCCAAAAGCTAAGTGGAACAGCACCACTGTTGGAGGTAATAATGATCAACATGTTGGAGTGAGGGTTGTTGGATATTACTGAAGCCATCACGGGAGGAGCCTATCATCACTTACATAATCAGCAGGTTGGAGAATTCTTAGCACCACCTGCTTCTCACATCCTTGATCAAATCAGGCTGAAGCAAGAGGAACCATCAGCTTCCCTGAAGATAAAAGAAGACATCACGGATCAGGAGAAGGAGCAGAAGTGGTGTGCTGTTGAGTTAGGGTTCATCAACTCTGGAGAACTGTTTAAAGAGGTTGGTGCCTGCCTTGGTATGGGGACTCATAACTCTGCTTGGGAGGTCTTGTTGCAGGATGTGTTGTGGGCTGGAATTCACAAGAACTATCATAATGCTGTCCATGCCTCTGACCCTCTCCCTTCGACTCCCTTCATCCCCATCCCTACAGATCAACTTCACTTCTACCTCAGAGGCCAGTCTCCTGTCCCTGACAGGCACATTCTCCATCAACATGCATGCTACCAGTGCCATTACTTGGGACATTGGTCTTGCCACAACAGATGTAGTTCCCATTATACTCTGGCCCTCAAGGAACCAACAACTCCATTGCCATCATCACCCATCACTGCTTGGACGCGTTCCCACATCTACACTACTCACAGACCCCTTTCCTCTCGCCCCACTAACACACCAGGTACATCCTCAAGGGTCTGAGGACCTTAGAGGGGGGGTGATGTTACACTTCTGTCAGGGGTCTTTCCTTTTTCGACTTCTTGCGGTCACGTGCATCATGTGCCTCGTCACGTCCCTTGTAATTGTTGCCATCCTAGGGGCTTGTATGTTGAATGGATCCTTTGGCTCACCTGCTGTCAAGGTATTTCCAATACCTGTCAACTTCACAGCCTTGTGATCTGGTATTCCACTGCCCTCTCTGATGGATGACTTGTTTCCTTCTAGTTCCGGTGACTCTTTCTGACTCATTTATGTTGCTCACATGTTGTACTATAGTTCCAGTGTCTGGCTCCCTGCTGCACATTGATCATGTAGCTGGTATAGCCTTTGCTCCCCTTACTACCCCCACCTCTGACACTGTATGACTCTTATCTATTTCACTGATTGTTCTGTTGATTACTGTGGATACACATCGTGACTGGTATGGTACTCATACTTAGAGGTATATAAACATGTGTACTTTACCTTGTATCCTCAGTTTTTTGATAGCTTGCAACTCAGCTAACTTCCTTCTCTTTCGTCCTTGTTCTCTCTCCATGTGACTACCTCAACAGATTGCCAGAAGACAGAACCTTTGTCAGACCTCAGAGATAACTGAGCCATAGGGGTTACAATACATTCAGCCTGTAGACTCCCCCTTGCGTGCTTTGTGCCTATTCCATTTGAAGAAGTCACTGTGCTCAGGCATAACACTTCCCATGAACATGGGTGAGGTAGCACTTGACCCAATTGACCAGGTGGTCCTTGAACCCACCTTTGATAAGCTGGTGGAGGATATCTGGTGAAAGCATGCTGTAGATGTCTGCATGTAGAAAATTGTTTGTGAATGGCTGTCTTCAATTAGCAAACAAAAGAAAACACAGGGCCATGCTTACTACTATGTCACCAACAATCCCATGCTTGTCTCATGGTTTATAAAAGTCAAATTCTTTGATCATGGTGTGTTGGCATGTACACAGCAATGGCAGAGTGTGTCATCATCCAGACTCTCCCAGTCTGTGAGGCACTTCAGGCACCAATTCCATATGATACAAGACAACAGAACTTGTTCCTTGTAGTCAGCTCTATAAGCTGCTAGTGCATATGTGATGTGCTGATAGTATTTGTTGCCACATAATATTATTTCTGGGACAATCATGGCAGGTCAAAGTGAACAAAGAATGTGGATTAGCCAAGAGTGGAAAAGCTGCCTTTTGGAATTTCAGAGAGCAGAGGAACTGGCATGTTATCTGGTGGCTAATCATCAGTAAATCACTTTGTGTGCTGGCAGTCCTAGGGAATCTGTCCAGTGCTGGACATCTCTGGACAGCTCTGGACAGCAAAAAGCGATTTACTGATGATGTTAGATTTGGGAATTTGCTTGCAGTTTTCATGAATTAATGGCCACTACTGTTCCTTACTGTGAGAAACACTTTCCATTTGTGGGTCTTCAAGACCACAATACTTAGTCATTTGTATGCTACAATACAGCACAGTAATTTTTATTGTTTCTAATGTTTCACTCATATACTTAATGATATAAGGTCTTGCACTAAGACTGTGCTTGTAGTTTTGACACCAGGTTCAACACCCATGTCTCATCTTTCATTCCTTACAGCATATTTAGCTTGCTACTGTAGTTACACCACCTCAGACATTTGCCACTCATGCACTCAACTGAAATCTGTACATAGATATCTGGGGTTATGAGCCCCATGCTCTGATAGCCTACAAACATCTCACCTGTTTTTTGATGGTCTCACTGTCACACACCAAAGGTGTTGCAGACATGATTACAGCTGACTCTGCCTAACTCATCAATGAGTTGCACATGATGTGACAAATGGAGATGAAGACTGTAGCCTTCATGCATAGAAGGACTGCTGGATGTTAGCAGTCATGCTTTGCACAAGAACAAGTTGTCAGTGCTAGAGAGAAAAGAGGAAGTGAGTTAAGCACCCATCAAAAATTTGTATTGCCTGTGTATGGCATTCTGGTTTTTGTCATATCTCCACCATTATTAAAGATGCCAACTCTGTTCTCACACTTCCTTAAGGTGCTCAGCCATGTAATCCTGCCTTCCAGGTTTGGAAAGGATCCTTGCACCCTACACATTTCTATAGCACTCCATCCATTGGATGCTCATTTCACTAAGTCCATCAGATATGGCCACCTCTACATTGATCATCTCACTTGTCTCCTTTGCCAGAGACAGTGGCTATGTATATCTGCCAGGCATTCCTACTAGCTTCTGTCCTGAAGCCCCCTGGTACAGTGGCTCACAAAATTGTCCCAATGTTTGCATGTTTTTCATTAATCATGGTGTAGTGAGTGAACTATCATTATTGAGTCCAAGGTGTTGTGGATGGATCAAAGTGGCTGGTCATGGTTCTCTGATGAGCAATATTACATAATATTTGGATAGAAACTGATGACAGAATACCCAAATGAAAATGAGAGCTCATTGGGACAATTATGTAACTTTGTGATATGCTGGGGATGTAGTCCTTGGGAACACATATAAAACATGGTGAGATGCTCACCAATGCTTACATAATGCATCACATGGTCTACTGAATGATTTGTCAACAAACACACAATGCCAAACAGTGATTTTACAACACTAAGCCTCCTTGCTGTAACACAAGTCAAGGAATCACCATTCTGGCTCATCAGGGACATTCTCTCAGGACAACTTCAGCAAATTCTGGTGTACACTATAGTATAATCAATAAAATATGCTATCAGCACCATTGGTCTCTTCAGAAACCTGCTGGCAGTATCTCCTGCACTGTTTCCCCACCAATGCCCCATGTGTCCTGGAACTAATCAGTACTGTGAGAGCTAAGAATGATGTGGAGGGTCAATCTGGCATTCATCCTATCATAAACAAACCAACAACCCACCAACTACTACATCACAGCTGAAGAAAAGCCTGCCTGAAGGCTCAGGTGAAGCACAACCCTCCTGGGCACTCCCAGTATCAAGGGAGGGTTGGCCAGACTGTGCTCTGAGCTGAACTGGGGATCACTGGGAAGGAGTTATCTGGTCATATAAGACTAAAGGAGATATGCAGTGCCAGATAGAAGGCCAGGAATATGCAACCTGGTGGCTCAGTAGCATATCCCTCCCCATGGTACCTGGAGTGAGAGAGGGTTTAGCTTCACCCTGACCTCCATACCAGTTTCCCCTTCACAGAAATGCACAAGTTAATGGGTGATTGGTTTGTTTATGATAGGATGAATGCAAGATTGACCCTCCACATCATTCTTAGCTCTTACAGTACTGATTAGTTCCAGGACACATGGGGCATTGGTGGGGAAACAGTGCAGGAGATAACTGCCAGCAGGTTTCTGAAGAGACCAATGGTGCTGATAGCATATTCTATTGATTATACTATAGTGTACACCATAATTTGCTGAGGTTGCCCTGAGCAAATGTCCCTGATGAGCCAGAATGGTGATTTCTTGACTTGTGTTACAGCAAGGAGGCTTAGTGGTTCAAAATCACTGTTTGGCATTGTGTGTTTGTTGACAAATCATTCAGTAGACCATGTGATGCATTATGTAAGCATTGGTGAGCATCTCACCATGTTTTATATGTGTTCCCAAGGACTACATCCCCAGCATATCACAAAGTTACATAATTGTCCCAATGAGCTCTCATTTTCATTTGGGTATTCTGTCATCAGTTTCTATCCAAATATTATGTAATATTGCTCATCAGAGAACCATGACCAGCCACTTTGATCCATCCACAACACCTTGGACTCAATAATGATAGTTCACTCACTACACCATGATTAATGAAAAACATGCAAACATTGGGACAATTTTGTGAGCCACTGTATCAAGGGTGGTCCAATCTTAGTCAGTTCAGCTTTCAGCATTTTGTTGATTTTCTCAAAGTTGACTTCTCAATAGTTGTAGCCTGGAGGAGATGTGGATAGGGTGAGGTCCATATTGATGTGTGTCAGGATTGGGACATGGTCTGTGTTGGGGCCTCTGTCTTCTGGACTCATGTTACAGCTGGTCAGCTCTTCCATCATTGGCTCTGTGCAAAAAACATTGTCTGGGCATGTCCAGTTGCCTGTGGATGATGACTGGAGGGTAGGTATTCCTTTGGGTAGTGCCTGCACCATTCCATAGTCTGCTGTGAGTCAAAGTGTGAAAAGCTGGTGAAAACCAAACAAAACCAACACAAAAGACAAATATAGAGCAAGTGGTGGTTTGCCTCCATGGAACCTGGAGTGGAGAAAAATCTAAAGTAGGGGAGTTTCAATGGCAGGTGCTTCTGGCACAAGTTGACAACAAGTTATGCAAGAGCAGAGGAATGAATGAAGACTTGATGGGGGACACTGAATAGAACAAAGGTATTCAGCTGAAAGGACTCCTAGCACAAGTCAAGAATGAGTTATGCAGGAGTAGAGGGATGAGGGATGACTGTGAGGGGGATGCCAACTAGAGTGATGAGTTTCAATAGATTGTGCTCCTGCTGCAAGTCAATGACAAGTTATGCAGGAGTTGATGAATGACTAAGTGAAAGTTGCTGACTAAGCACTGATGCTACTGATGAAGGCAGATAGTCCCCTTCATGGAGCCTCAACTACCAATGATATGAATGAAGACAGATAGACTCTTCTGAATGAGCCTCAACTGTTGACAACAAGTTACATATGCCTGAGAGAGAGCTGAACTGACTGCTGGGTGACTTCTGGATTGCTTGTTGATTGCTTTTTTTTGTAGCTAAGTACATGGGAGTTTATGTACTGTGGGGGGAGCACAGCCTATGACAAATGAGGCACACACACTTGGTAAGTAATGAGTAAGGATTGAGTAACCATGATGAGTAAGCAAGAAATAAAAAGTAAGCAAGCAAAGAGGATTGGTAAGTATTGGCAATGAACAAGTCAAGGACAGTCAAAATATCACAGAATGAGTCAAAGAATGTCAGAAACTGAGTAAGCACACTGATATCACATTAGGGGGTGGTGATGCAAGTCAGATCTTGGCAGAGACATCACTGGATCCAAAGATGGCATGACAGATGGATGGTGTTTCCAGATAGGGAAGTATTAATTCCAGAATTGAAGGGCATGAGTCAGGCATCAAAGGGGCTAGGGCATTGGGGGTCTGTGGGGCAACAGGAGCATATGCAATCACATCTCCCACCCTTTCATCCTCTCAGAAAAGTTAACAAAAGCTTCATGAATGGGGCTCTGATGGAGGAGGAGGAGAAGTGGGGATGTCTTCTGCTGGATCTTGCAGTAAGAAGGCAAGATGCACATCATACTCATCATGGATGCAATCAGGGAGGCTGGAGAACAGTAGATTATGCTGCAGCTGTTGCAATGCAGGAAGAATGATGGATGAGATTGGAATAAAGACAGTGCAGGGAGCAGGGAGGAACAATCCATATGCTTCATCAAGTGGGGAGACCAAAATAACCACATAAGACCTTTCTAACCAAGTGACAGACCTGAGGCAACCAAAGAATGTCCTTCTGGAAGTCATACTGATGAGGAGAACATGCTGACCAAGCTGCATGGGATGAGATGGGGCTGACAATGACAGAATGAACCAGGGGGCTTCAGGATGGAAGCTGGTGGGAATGCCTGGCAGACATACATAGCCACTGTGTCTGGAAAATGAGACAAGTGAGATGATCAACAAAGAGGTGGCCATATCTGATGGACTCAGTGAAATGAGCATCTGATGGATGGAGTGCTGTAGAAATGCATAGGGTGGAAGGATCCTCTCCAAATTTGGAAGGCAGAATTGCATGGCTGAGCACTTTAAGCAAGTGTGAGAATGGAGTCAATATCTTTGGAAATGGTGGAGGTACAATGAAAACCAGAATGCCATACACCACTAATTCTAGCAACTTTTGCATGGAGCTTAGCACCCTTGCCATGAACAGATGATGGTTGTGGTCCTTGTCCCACAGTGGGTGGCATCTGTTGAAGTCACCCAGCCATATCATGTGGTTGTTTGCCATTGGTCTGACTTTATCAATGTTTGCAGTGAGGAAGGTGCTCATTGTCTCTAGCATTTGGTTGTGTGTACAGTTGTTATAAATGTGCATAGGCACCCTTTGCAGTCCTTAGCTGCATTACAACAACATCCACAGAGGGGAAGGCTATCTGCTCCCAATTGTTAG